TGGGTAGTTCTCTAAATGAGGTTCCCGTTTAGGGTCCCTTTTTATAATGGTGCCGTACTATATGGGGCAGGCCTGAAGAAGTTATTCAGTTGTAGAGAAGACTGTCAGAAGGGTTTAGGGTTTAGGGCTGGTGTTGCAAGGTTTTCCGAGCCTTAGTTTTAAGGATTTAAAGGCAAACTCCTGAAGTGACCTTCCTCGAAGAGGGTTAGCTGAGAATATTTCGTAGCTGCATGCTTGCATGGCTACTTGAACTCTAAAGACCTACATTTTTTACTACTTCTTGTGATTTCCCGTTTTTAAACCTTTGAACAAGTAGGGCTTTGAGTGTTCAGGTAGGCTTGCCCCCAAACCTTTTCGCAGACGGAGTCATTAATGTGACTTCGAGATTGCTGGCTCGAGAGTCTTGAATGTAAGGAGGGGGCCCTCATAAGTCAAATAGGGCTTCGCGGGCTATTGTAAAGAAGTCCCTAAAGCCTAAACCCCAAAAGAAGTCTTGGCAAGCATTGCTAACCATTCAGGCTTCTATATCAAGCCCTCTGGGGTTTTACGGAACTCGCTAGTACGGCCGAAGACTATAAAGCACGGATACTGGGAGATTCTGGGGGCTGAGGCTGAAATTCCGGGAGTAAGACACAGTTGTCGATTTGCGGTTTACCTGCGGGTGATACATGGGTAGTTCTCCAAATTAGGGTCCGCTTGCAGATCCTTTTGAATGGGTGCCGTAACATTTTTTTAGACCGAGAGAGAGAGGGAGAGAGAGAGAGAGATCCTAATTTAGAGAACTACCCATATGGGCCTAGGTGTAAGACCTTGGGCTCTAGACTTTCAGGGCCAGCCTGCCCAAGGAGCTAAGGATCCGAGGGATCCAATACTTTAGGTATTAACGCAGGTTAGCATTTGGTCGGAAGAGGTATGGAGAGTATACCCTAGCTTAGCGCACCTGTCATATCTAAAGCCTTTTTGATATACCCCCCAAGCCATATTCTAGCATCAACTGAAAATTCGTAGGGTGTAAGGCTTAGGATGTGGGCTCTCAACCCCAACATGTTTCAAGAACCCTAAACCCTAAACCCCCCCAAACCCCGCAGCCAACTCAAGCCTCGGTTATCCCCGAGTTTACCCTCGGTACCCTGATCTGGAGTCAAAGAAAAGTCTGCTACAAGGGGTTTAGCGTTTTAGGGTTAGACATGTCTGTTACACGAAGCGTGATGTAGGGGCCTTTCTCATTAGAATAGGGTTTTGGGGGTACCTTATAGTCTAAGTATACTAAGGACCCATGAGGAATAATAATGGTAATTATTTAGGCTTCTATATTGCCACATATTGCCAGTTAGAGCACTCCAGGTGCCAGCGGAAAATGGCGCTGTGAAGGATGTGAGCTCCGGATGCTCAGGAGGCTGTGTCACCGTGGGCATAGCCGAGGCTGGCTGGTCTGGGACCCTAAACCCTAAACCCTAAACCCTAAACCCCTAAACCCTAAACCCCTAAACCCTAAACCCCTAAACCCTAAACCCCTAAACCCTAAACCCCTAAACCGTGGCTCTGAAGAGCATTCAGGTCAAAACGCTCCCAGAGCGGCAGAGCAGGCATGTCGTCCTCGGGCTCCTCGGTTGCAGCAGTCGAAGGATCAGGCTGCACAGCAGAGGGGTCTCGCGCCGAGGGCACCCGAAGGAAGCTAGGGTTTAGGGTTTAGGGTTTAGGGTTTAGGGTTTAGGGTTTAGGGTTTAGGGTTTAGGGTTTAGGGGAAGCAAGTGCTCAACAGCTGGGACACTCCACTACTCACGCCACGCCTGCGCTACACCTGAACAAGCTCCCTGAGCGAATTCGAGCATTAAACTCAGCGCCCGCTCTGCAGCTGGGACACTGCTC